AAACATTAACTACCAAAGCTCATTCAAGAAGATATAAGTAATCTGAATAGTTCTATTACCTGTTTTTTTTTAAAGATTTTATTTATTTATTCATGGGAGACAGAGACAGAGAGAGGGAGGCAGAGGAAGAGGGAGAAGCTGGCTCCCCACAGAGCAGGGAGCCCCATGTGGGACTCAATCCCAGGACCCCGAGATCACAACCCAAGCCGAAGGCAGATGCTTAACTATCTGAGCCACCCAGGTGCCCAGTCCTATTACCTGTTAAAAAGAAATTATATTTGTAGTTAACAACCATCCCACAAAGAAAAGTCTAGGCCCAGATGGTTTCACCAGTGAATTTTACCACTTAAGGAAAAAGGAATAGCAATACTATACAATATCTTTCAGAAAATTAGAAAGGGGGGAAACACTTCCCAAATCATTTTATGAGGCCAGCATTATGCTAATATCAAAGCCAAAGACAGTACGAAAAAGGAAAACTACAGACCAATATCCCTCACAGACAAAGACAAATATCCTCAGCAAAATAAAAGCAAATTAAATCCAGCAATATATGAAAAAAACAACATATTACAACCAAGTGAAGCTTATCCCAGAAGTTCAAGGCTGGCTCAACATGCAAAAATCAATCATCAGAATAATTCACCATAGTAACAGACAAAAAAGGAAAAAGTATACTATTACTTTTGTAGATGCAGGAAAGGCATTTAACAAAATCCAATTCATAAAAAAAGTCTCAGCAAACTAGCAATTCAAAGGAACTTCCCTGATTTGATAAAAGGCAACTACAAAAAGCTTACAGCTACCATACTTAAAAGGTAAAAGACTAAATGCTTTTCCCCTAGGATCAGGAAAAAAAAAAAGTCAAGGATGTCTGCTCTCAACACTTCTATGCAACACTGATAGTACCACAGGTTCTAACTATAAACAAGGCTACTAGAACTAAGTATGTAAGTTTAGCAAGGTCGCAGAATACAAGGTTAATGTACAGAAATCAACTGACAACCTGATTCTGAAATTGATATGGAAAGGCAAAGGACCTAGAATAGCCAAAACAACTCTGAAAAGAAAAACAAAGTTGGAGAGCTAAAGCTGCCTGATTTCAAGAATTACTATAAAACTACTGTCATCGAAACAGCATGGTATTAGCATAAAGATGAACAAAGAAATCAACGGAACGGACTACAGAACACAGAAATAGACCTACAAATCACAACCAATTCATTTTTAACAAAGTTAACAAAAGTAATTCAATGGAGTAAAGACAGTCTAGTCCATAAATGGTATTGCAGCAAAATGAGTAAGATAGAAAATAAACCACAACATAAATATCATTCCTTTGACAAAATTTAACTCGAATGGATCATTGATCTAAATATAAAATATAAAAGTATATAACTTTTAGGAGAAAAAATAGAAAATCTTTAGGACCTAGGGCTAGGCAAAGAGTTCTTAGATTTGACACTAAAAGCACAATCCATAAAGGAAAAGTTGATAAATTTTAAAATCCTCAAAACTTTAAAATCCTTGTTCTACAAAGATACTATAAAGAGAATGAAGGGAAAAAAAGAGAGAGAGAGAGAGAGTGAAGGGGCATCTGGGTGGCTCAGTCAAGTTAAGCGTCCAACTCTTGATTTTGGATCAGGTCATTCATTATCTCAGGGTTGTGAGATCGGGCCGGCCTTGGGGGCTTCACGCTCAGTGGGGAGTCTGCTTGTCCCTCTCCCTCTGCTCCTCCCTCCCTCCCCCCCCAATGCTCTCTCTCTCTCTTTCAAATAAATAAATAAATAAAATCTTTAAAAAAAACCTAAATGCGATAATAGAAGTCAGGTCCTTAGAGTAATGTATGACACATACAAACCATTCAATAAATGTGAATTACTGGGGCACCTGGGTGGCTCAGTGGGTTAACTGTCTGCTTTCAGCTCAGGTCATGATCTCAGGGTCCTGGGATGGAGCCCTGTGTGGGCTCCCTGCTCAGGGGGAGTCTGCTTCTCCCTCTCCCTCAGCCCCTCCCCCGCCCCCACTTTTGCTCTCTCTCTGCCTCTCTCTCAAATAAACAAATGTAAAAAAAATAAATGTGAATTATTATAATTTATCATTATCGTTACAGCATTCTTTAAAATTGAGACGATAAAAGACAAATGTTCATCAATAGAAAAATTGTTAAATTATGTTACATCTATTACAAGAAATATTAGGCAATGGTTTAAAAGAATGAAGTAAATTTATATGTACTAATCTGGAAAGATGTCCACAATTATTGTGAAAAAAGCCAACTGCAGGACAATTTGTATAGTATGATCTCATTTGTGTAAAAATAAAATGATATGTTTTGAAGAAATTTTTGTAGAATGATACTCACCAAACTGCTAACAGTTGTTATCCCTAGGGAGGGGGAGTGTAATGAGGAGGGGTTCAGAGAAAGGGGGTCCAGAGAAAGGGGGTCTTTCACTTTTTATTCTGCTTATTCCCAGATTGTTTGAATTTTTACCAGAATATATTCCTATATTTTTGAAACAAAAAACACAAAAGAAAAGAGTCAACTATCTTTTAAAAGAGCAGTGATAAAAATAACTTTCTGATTGCCTTGGCTCATGGATTCAAGAGGATGAAGCACGAGCTTACCTTGGACTGAAATATTTACCTAAAAATAGACTCAGCTTCCATTTGTAATTTAACAAACATGAACCGAGTGCTGCTTGTTGGCCTAGCAGAGCAAAGAACTGAGTCATTGCCCCGGCTGTGCCACTAACTAGCTTTGTTATGTTATTGTGTTACAGACGTTAGACTGTGGACTTCTTAGAAACAGGGATCAATCTCTTTTCTCTGTCTCTCTAGCCCCGTGACACAGGGCTTGATTCAGAGTTGGCGCTCAACTGAAATAAAAACTCCTCACGGCAATATCAGAATTAAAGGTGGCTGTGTAGAACAGCGCTGTCCATGCCCCGTTGAATTGACACATGATCGCCATCTAGTGGCAGCAGGGATTCCTGCGGAAGCCAGAGATCGGCAGAAACGGACTAGGTGTGTTCTGGGATGTCTTTTAACAAACAACACACCATTGCCTATCTAAAAGAGCATGACCCTCAGAAAAAGCTGACAACCACCAGCTAAAAGGTCATGATTTATGTCTTGGAGTGTTGGTAAGATGACATCTAGGTACTCCTGTGTTTTAAGTGTCCTCCATCACCATCCCTTCATCAGATGCCCCCCACACCTATAAGCTGCGCAAAGTCCACATTGCTACATCTCCATTCCAACCAAAAACAATGAACCACATATGGTATTAGGTATGTACATCCATGCTTTCCCAAAACTGATGAAATACTAATAACCTTTCCTAAGCCAGTCTGGTCGGGACAAGATACAAAACAAGACCAGAAAAATACATCTTCCATAAACTTTGCCCTCCAGGTGCACCATCTTTCTGAATCATCAGAAATCATCATGAGAGTGAGTGCCACTCTGAAAATATCTAGTGAGCCTTCAAAATGTCTCACATGCCAAAGGGCCACAAGGAAACCCACCGTGAGGTGGCTTTGTAAGTACCTTTTTGTGACAAACCCTCACCTGCCCCTGCAGATCTCAGGGAGCAGGTTTTCTTGCCTCCTTTGAGTACCAATGAGTCTTCCAAGTACTTCATTGATAGGGAAGCAGCTGAGTGATAACAGTCTGAGAAATACTAGAGCTTGTGTTTATGCAGTAGGGGACTCAAAAAGAATAACGAAAGGACACACTGGTAGTTAACCTGAAAAGTGTCCCTGCTAAGTTGAACAACATTCTTCTAAAATGTTGCTCAGCAGAGAGATGAACGTCCGACTGGCTCGGTTGGTACAGCATGCAACTCTTGATCTTGGGGTTGGGAGTTCCAGCCCCACGCTGGGTGTAGAGAGATCACTTTAAAAAATCTTTTAAAAATTAAAAATAAATAAAATAAGTAAATCTTTACAAAGATTTTTAAAATGTTGCTCCACAGAACAAACAACAAAAACTTCTCAAAAACTCCTAAGAGAGGGACACTGTCTGGTTCAGGGTCAATGGGGAAAGTGGCCGAGGAAATTTATGATCATTAACGGGTCCTGTCATGATTAAAGTCTTTATAATTCCACCTCCTGCAGTTTGACACAGTATGTGCCTCGTAAACGTGGGAAGAAAAACAAAGGTGCAATTTGGTGGAAACGGGGACACCGGTTTGGGAGCACGGTACACACAAGAACACCTTATTTGGGGCGGGTTGCTTTGGAGCAAAGCCAACACGGGTGCGTTCGTTCCTACCACCGTGTTCTGGAGTTGCAGAGAAGTTAGGAATTATGAACAAGATGGATCCATCCAACTACTCCCGGCCTAAAAACAGCAAGAAGCCCTAATATCTATTTATATGCAATTCCCTGAGGGCCGAAGCGGTTCTTCCTAATGGCTGGAGAGCACTCAGTAACAATCAGGTCTTGCGGCGGAATGTTTTTAAGACCTTGTCCTGAGCGTGCCGATGGAGATAACGAACTCTTGAGCGGTCGGTAGTACATTTAAAATGGAAATGGAAAGTGTAGGAAGATGCGCTCTTCCGAGCGTCCCGTATTTCGTACTAGCAAAAGTCCTTGGTTCCTGCTGGTACTCGAAAAGTGCGGTGTCAGCATAAAGAGCAGAGAAGCGACACCATAAGAAACCATGAGCCACTGTGGAAGGCTCCAGAAGAGGAGTATCCGCTGACAGCCACACGAGAGAGCGCCCCAGACGGTGCAAGGGGAGTCCGGAGCCTCGCCGCCCGCCCGGCCCGGCAGGCCCGGTCCCGCGGCCCCTCTCCCGGTTCCCCCCCCTCCCCCCCGCGCCGGCCTCCCCGCCACAGACCGGGAGGTCTCCCCGGCCGCCTCCCTCCTCTCGGCTCCGCGGCGCTCCGGAGCCACCCGGCCCGGCCGGCCGTGGGGCGCAGCGGCCACACCGGCTCGACGTGCAACTTCGCTGTGCGTCCGTCGGCCCGGCCCGAGGACGCCCCTACTCACGTAGCGCTGCAGCTTCCTCTCGGGGGGCGACTTGACGAGCCAGCCCGTGCACACGGCGTCGCCCGCACTCATCGTGGCCGCCGCCGCCGCTTCCTCCAGCTGGGTCGCCGCGGCAGGAGGAAGTCGGGCCGGGGATGCCGGCGGGGCGGGCCCAGCGCCGCCCGCCC